ATGCAAGTGCACCTGTGTCATGCTGTACCCATGGAGGCCAGAAGAGGGTGTCAGAGCCCCATGAACTGGAGTTATGGATGTTTTTTAGTGAGATGTGGGTGCTGGGAACTAAACCTGGGTCCTCTGCAAGAGCAACCAGTGCTCTTAACCTCTGAGCCAGCTCTCCAGTCCCCTTCCCAGAGTCTGTCCTTTCTCTGAGTGGACAGGCTTGTAGCAGAGCGTGTGACTCACCGTGCACCACCTGACTGGGTTCCCCGTCACTGGTCACCTGCCTCCTGGCTCGTGGGCACACCTGCTGTGACTCTGTGCTGACACACAGTAGGCAGGTCCTTCCCTTATTTATTTTAATAGTGTCATCTCAACATATGCCCTCTGCCCCACAGCCCCCACAACACAGGACACAGCGCCCGTGGCCTCTGCTGGCCAGCACGGGACAGTGACTTCTAATCTAGCGACTACAGGCTGGTCAGCTGGCCCCAGGCACTGGCCACCCTGGCTTGCCCCAGGCCACCCTGGATTGCAGAATGTGGTCTCCCTGACCTGACAAGTGTCACCTGTCACCCAAATCTTGTGTGACAGGTGTGAACTACAGTCTCACAGGCTGCGTGTAACCCACCACAGCCCAGCCCTTCCCACTTGTGTGTTGTGCAACATAAACAGGTCCCCAGGGTGCAGAACAAGACTGTGGCAGAGAGCTAGGCCTGGACAGCAGGCAATTGCAGTGCAGGGGAGGCTACACCCATGCAGGCTGGACGTCCAACAGGGCTGAGGGTGCCCGTAGCTGGGGACACAAGTGGAAGGGACAAGTGGATAAGACCTGGTGTGAGATAGCTTTTGAGACAGGGACTGGCCATGGGAGGGCCCTGAACTGTGGGCATGCTGTGGACAGGGCAGGGTGAGGGTGGGGTTCCTCCTACTGGGGATGCTGCAGATGGCCAGTCAGAGCTGTGAGAGCAGAGGGGAGGCCATCAGATCTGTCCTCGTGGCTTTTCCTGTGCAAGGGGACTCTGGCTCCTAGTTGGGACCTGCACCTGTGCACTGGACTGTGGTCACTGGGTGCTATCCCCAGAGTGGCAGGCCCCTCTGCGGGTTCTTACCAGGTCCTTCGTCAGTTCTGCATCCATGAGACCCCTAAACTGCTGTTCCTGCCATGAGTATGCAGCCAGGCCATGGCACCCCACCCCCTACCCCATTGAGATGCAGCTCCCATAGCCCCAAGGGACGGTGCCTATCAGACACCCAAAGGGGACTTGGGGCCTCATTTGTTTGTGGCTTGGGTTTTTTTAATAAGTTTTCATGTGAAGTTGATTTTCCCAGCATGTGACTCTTGCCCCATCTGAAAAGTGAGCGACTAATCAGACCAAGCAGCCACCAGGTCTCCACCTCTAACATGGCCAAGTACTCATGGTGGCCTCTGGTCTCTTGAAGAGGGGGGCCCAGTACTCTCCACTATGGACTGGCTCCCAGGCCTTCTGGCCAGCACCCTGTGCTCTCTCCACCATCTGGGGTAGGGACAGGGTAGGATCCAGGGGAGCCCAGGCTTCTGCTAGCCACTCCATGAAAACAGTCTTCCTAGGGACCTAGGGTGTGGCCCCCTGCGGGGTGGATGGCCTCTCCCAGCACTCTTGACAGCTGCAGTCTTAACAAAGGTCAGAGGTGCAAGAATAGCCCAATTGTGGGGTGCAAAATGCCTGGGGCCCTTGATTTCCCAAGTGGTCCTCATCTCTTCCTCCATCTCCATCTACTGCACAGACGGGGAAATCCTGGACAGGTGCAGGCACTGTCCCCTCTCCTTGGGGTCCTGGGTAGCAGAGACACAGGGCAGGGGGCGCAGGCCTACTGGTGTCCCAGTATCAGACCTGGGGCAGTGCAGGGTGCTGGCCAGCCAGGCCACCATCACCCAGCACCCCCTCCAGATGACAGGCTGGTGATGATCAGGCCTGGAGTAGAGCAACCAGGGTTCCCCCTTCAGTCACTGCCAGAGCTGGGTACCCACATGAACCTTAGCCACCAAGGACAGAGTCTCCTTGCCTGTCCCTGGGGACCTTATCTGGTGATGGTGTCTGCTAAGAGGTGCCCATGGGGGCCATCTCAGCCATCCTGATGGATGGTAAGGGCCTTGGGTACAATGGGTCCCTGGTGACTCCCTCCTTGCATCCCAACCTGATACTGCTGTGTCTGGGTGATGGGGCCCTGTGTCTTACCCCCAGGCAGCCCACTGGTTCCAGGGCCCAGGACCCCCTGTGGGCAGCAGCCTGCCACCCTCCTGATGTCCCTTCCCATTAGCTCAGTGCCACCCTACAGGCGCAGCTCACAGCCAAGCTCACCAGAGGGGCCATCATCCTATGCCACTGATTGGGGCCACGGGGGAGGGGGTCAGTGCACTGGAGCTGTCAGGGCTCTGCGGGGCCCCAGACAGTGCTTGGCTCCTTTCTGAAAAGTTCTGTGCTCTCAAGTGCACTTGCAACAGCCTCAGTGCCCTTCTCACCGGGAGCCGGGCACAGCAGAGGTGAAGACCAGGCCCAGGCAAGCCAGCTGAGGCACTGGAGTGGAAGTGGGGCAGCTCTGCAGCTGCCCAGACACAGGGTCTACTGGATGGGATCTAGAGGGATCCATCCCTTCAAGGTCCAGACTGGCTCGGTGACCACCAAGGGCCTAGCACAGCACCTGGCCCACGGTGAACATAGCCTGTGTCTGTCCTCCATGGATCTCACTGTTGCTGTTCATCTCATGTTCACTACTCCCTTGGCCTGTGGCCTCCAGGCCTGGGTGGGCTCATGACATCTGGTGGACAGTGTGTCCACTGTGGTAGTCAGTGGGCACTGGCCTGCTGCCGCCAAGGGACTGAGGTGTTCAGGCCCTGCACCTGGCCTCAGACTCCCACTCCTGACCATAGGTGGTTACCACTTACAGTGGGATTGGACCGTGGGGCCCCAGGCTGACCCTCAGGAGGCACAGTGGCCACAATGTGCAGCAACCTAGTGCCGTGCCACCATTGTCCACTCCATGGTCACCACAGCCAAGTGGCAAGGCAAGGTGGCTATCCATCCCTAAGAGCACCCCTGCTCTGCCTGGCCCGTCCTCAGACTGAAGGGATATCCACTAGCCACTCTGTTCAGTCTTTTGTTCCTGTTTCTGTTTTTCATCTAGCGACGCTACTGTGAAGCCCAGGGACTCTCAGGCAGGGCAGGCTCCTTGCCACCCAGAGGCACCCCCGTCTCCCTCCAGTCCCCAGGGGCACCTGTGGGTCTGCATGTGAGGCCCTTCACATTCCCAGGTGCCTGGTTCACAGGTGGGCAGAGGCCGTGCCAGGCAGAACCAGGCAGGTGCAGGCTGCCCGCCCCCAGCTGCCACCCTGCACACATCTGGAGGTCACAGGCCCAGCTCCCATGCCGAGCGTGGTGGGCAGACCTTTAACCCAGCACTCAGGAAGCAGAGGCAGGCGGATCTCTGAGATCAAGGCCAGCTTGGTCTACATAGCAAGTTCCTGGCCAGCTGGGGCTACAGGGAGACCGTGGGAGGCCTTGTGATACACAGGCTGGCCAGAGAATTTGGGGTCACTGGGCCCTGGGGATCACAGCATGGTTCGCCATGGGGAGTGCATGGTTCGCCACAGTCAGGGTCCCTGGTTGTGCTGGGGAAACATGAGATTCAGTTTCCTCCTAAGATGACTGCCTCTGCAGGGTCAGCCCTGGGACAGGGACAGACACCTGGCATGACAGCCATCTCCTCCCTGCCAGCCCTGCTGTGGGGGCCGGGGAGCTGTGGAGAGGGGACTGCAGGGGGCCCAGCGCCAGAGGGTGCAGTGTCCAGCAACATGAAGGACACCAGGATTGTAGGGTCCTAGTGTGGTGTTGAGTCTTGGGGTGGCTGAGTCCCTGGATTGGGGGGGGGTACGGCACAGCAGGGGGCCCCTAAGAGGGCACCCAGGTGCACCCTGGACTCTGGCTTCCTGCGATAGCTCCACCCACCCATCTTGGAAGCCAGTCCACAGCCACAGGCCACCAGGCCCAGGTGCTTCCCCCGGAAGCTGTGGCTCTCCTCCCTTCTGCACTTACCAGCAGAGCTGTGCCCACAGCAGGCTACAATCCTGATGCGAGAGTGCCAGAAACACTTGAGGGATCAGCTAGCAGGACCTGTGCTCTGTTCCTCTGGGAATGGGACAGCTGCGCACATCCAAGCACCACCAGAGACACAGAAGCCCCTCCACACCCACTTCCTTCCTGTCCCTCTGTACCCCGAGTCTTAGCCATCAACACAGCCCCAGTGGCTGCTCACCAGCAGTAGCTGGGAGTCATTCCCAATGACTGGCGCCTCTGCAGCCTCTTTGCTTTCTCAGGCCACTTCCTCTCAGCCGGATCTCTACAGCCTTACTGACCCTGCCTGTTGCGAGGGGCATCACAAGGGCCCTCACAGAACCCTTGCCCAGATCAGAAATAGTGCTTGCTAGGGTCAGAGTTGCAGACCCTAGGGCCAATGGCACTTGAGAGCCTCATCCCACCTGCCAGGAGGTAGCAGGGCCTGCTGTGGGGTGCATGCTGTTAGCCAATGAGCCAATGCCAGGGACACACCTTGCTCCATGCTTGCTGCCCCAGCCAGGCCCAGTAGTGGACCTGTTGGCTCCCAGGGGTAGTGGCCCAGGCTGTGGGCCGTCCTCCTGCACACCATTTCATCCTGGGGAGGCTTGAGGTCTGATACCCTGGACGGGTCCCTCAGGCCACTCCACCCCAGCCTCAGGCCTCACATACAGGCACCTGACCACAGGCTATGACTTGTGGCCTGGCTCCCCTGAGGGGTTCTGTGGGGAGCCCTCTCTCAGTGGCATCACAGAGGACTTGGGGTGCAGCAGCCTTGTGAGGTGATGTCCATATGAGTAGGACATGTGTCCCCTGAGCACCAGACTCCCAGACTAGCTGCTTGGCCAGGAGGGGAAGTATCCTGAAGGTGCCCTCTCTGTCCCCTCTGCCACCTCACATGGCTTCCCTTCTCCTGCCCCACAGCTGGTCAGTGAGAAAGTTGGAGGGGCCGAGGGGACCAAGCTGGATGATGACTTCAAAGAGATGGAGAAGGTAAGGCTCCTGGGACTGGGGGACACTCAGCACTGGGGCAGCTAGAGGTTGGAGGGTGCAGGGGGCTGTCCCCCCGCCACTCTGCCTGCTTCCCAGGGTTGTGACATGCTGTCCCTCCACAGAAGGTGGATGTCACAAGCAAGGCAGTGGCGGAGGTGCTGGTCAGAACCATCGAGTACCTACAGCCCAACCCAGGTAGGCCCAGCTACTGCAGAGCTAGCCCAGACCCTCAGTGTCTGTGCTGTGACCACAATGGGGTCACTGGAGAGGAGCCACAGGGCCCTGTGGGCTGGACCCACTCAGAGCTGTCCTTAGTCAGTGGCTCAGCTCTGTATCTCAGGCTTCCCTTGAGCTGAGGTGACTTCCTACCTAATGCTGCCCACACAGGAGGCCCCTTCTGACTAGCTGGCTAGTGTGCAGTGGGGCCAAGTCTCCCCAGACAGGAGGCAGTGAACCAACAGTGGTCACTGTCAACTGGGACAGTGAGGACAGAGCCAGAGACCATAGCTGGGTGGGCTTGTGCCTGACCGTGGAGCCTCTGCTGTCTTCAGATGACAGGCCCAAAGGTCCAAGACTCCTGTGGGACTTGGTCCCCTCTCCTGTGAGCTGCCCACTCCTATTGCCTGGCTGGCCCTCGATACATGGGTCCTGGTCCAGGTGCACGCCACCCACCTGGGCCATCTATTCCCTGGCAGCCTCCCGGGCCAAGCTGACAATGCTGAACACGGTGTCCAAGATCCGAGGCCAGGTGAAGAATCCCGGCTACCCGCAGTCAGAGGGGCTGCTGGGGGAGTGCATGGTCCGCCACGGAAAGGAACTGGGTGGAGAGTCCAACTTTGGTGAGAGCCAAGGTGGCCAAGGACTGGGTGGCTGCGGGAGCAGAGGGCAGGGGCCTTTTACGACTTTGTGTCCAGCTCCAGGCTGTGGCTCGAGGACCACTGTGCAGTGGGGAGCCCTGCCCATAACAATCACCCCTTCACACAGGTGACGCTCTGCTGGATGCAGGTGAGTCCATGAAGCGGCTGGCTGAGGTGAAGGACTCGTTGGACATCGAGGTCAAACAGAACTTTATTGACCCCCTGCAGAACCTGTGCGACAAGGACCTGAAGGAAATCCAGGTGTCTCTGGGCGGCCCAGGCTGGCAGGGAGGGTGGCCGACCTTCGCCACCCAGTGAGTGACACGTGTCCCCACCCACCACCCACGCGCAGCACCACCTGAAGAAGCTGGAGGGCCGCCGGCTGGACTTCGACTACAAAAAGAAGCGGCAGGGCAAGATCCCCGACGAGGAGCTGCGCCAGGCACTGGAGAAGTTTGAGGAGTCCAAGGAGGTGGCAGAGACCAGCATGCACAACCTGCTGGAGACCGACGTGTGTGCCCCACAGGGGCTGTGCGGGGAGGGGCCTGGAGGGAAAGTGCACCCCATCACCCTGCCCCTCTCCCATCCCACAGATTGAGCAGGTGAGCCAGCTCTCAGCCCTGGTGGATGCACAACTGGACTACCACCGGCAGGCTGTGCAGATCTTGGACGAGCTGGCTGACAAGCTCAAGCGCAGGTCAGTGGCGTCCTCCTAAGTACAGTCCCCTCTGCAGCTCTCCTGTCTGCCCAGGACTACCGTGCGCCCCCTGACAGCTGGTGTGGGCAGCCCACCCTCCCATCACTCCATGCTGCCCCTGAGCAGGATGTATGTGAGAATGGTGGTGACTGGCAGCCTCTGTGGGTGCCCAAGGCTGAGGGTTAGGTCCAGTCCAGGTCCCAGGGTTCCCGTGGGTCGTGTGGCACCATGTGACATGTCCTGTTGGCCCCATGCAGTGGTGAAGGGGAGGGTGTGCACGCTGCACACACACTCAGGGCTCTGTTCTCGCAGGGTACGGGAAGCCTCCTCACGCCCCAGGCGGGAATTCAAGCCCCGGCCCCGCGAGTCCTTTGACCTGGGAGAACCAGAGCAGCCCAACGGGGGTTTTCCCTGTGCCCCAGCGCCTAAGATTGCAGGTAACAGAGACCCACAGAGGACAGCCTGGGCTAAACACTGATCCAGGCCACAGATGGGCTCCCCAGCCCTCTAGATGGGGTATGGGATCAGGGCCTGGCCTATGCACTGCACTAACACCCTGGTTCTCCCCCTGAGCAGCACCCTCATCATTCAGATCCTCTGAGAAGCCTGCACGGACGCCCAGCAGGAGTATGCGTGAGTGTTGGGGTGGAACTCCCACATTGGAAGTGGCACATGCCAAGTCACCCCATGCCCCATCCCTCCCTGCAGACGCCAGCACAGCATCCCGGGGTAAGCGGGGAGGGGGTCCTCACCACCAGCCTGATACCCTGCTGTCTGCAGCACCCCTGGACCAGCCCAGCTGTAAAGCGCTCTATGACTTCGAGCCAGAGAATGATGGGGAGCTGGGCTTCCGCGAGGGCGATGTCATCACACTCACCAACCAGATCGACGAGAACTGGTACGAGGGCATGCTGCACGGCCAGTCCGGCTTCTTCCCACTCAGCTATGTGGAGGTGCTGGTGCCCCTCCCACAGTGACCACCACGGACCACTACAGTGACCACGGGACCGCCATGCATAACACGAGGTGCTCTGCAAACACTAACGTTCCTCCCACCCGGGGGTGACAACTCCAGGGAGGTCCTCCCCACTCCCCCAGCCCCAGGCATCATCCCGAAGACTTGGGGAGACCTGCCCTAAGTGCCCACTGTCTCCACCCCTACCAGCCCATTGCTGGCAATGGGCTCAGGGCCCGGTCCAAGCTCCCCAGAGGCGCAGCCCCCAGCTGCACTACCACTGCATCCTGGGAGCTGGACATCCCCACAACCCAGCCTGTAAGTCAAGCTCCGCAGCTCAGCACGTGGGGGTGCCTGGCACCAGCTGTGGGTGCAGATGCACAACCATGCATGCACACACACACACATGCACGTGTGTACACATGTTCACGCCTCCCACGGGACCACAAACGCAGCCTTAGCCTCCACTCTGCCAAAGGTCAAGCACAAAGGCCCTGAGCAGAGGGTGGCACCAGGGTCTGCCACCGTCCTGTCAAGTGACCATTGTGGTCTGTAGGTAACCGTGGGCAGCTGGCAATTCCCCGGCATCCTGGCAAGCCCACCATGGCCCTGGCATCATTTCACACCACTGCCCCGGCTAAGGTGATTTCATGGGCTGGGCTAGTTACATTCCTCTTCGACAGCCCTGGGGCCCAGTCTTGTGGTGCTGCCCCCTCAGATGGGCAGTGCAGCCTCGCCCCCAGCCCAGACCCAACAGAAATGTAGTCCTGATGTTTTTCTAAGTATTAAATGTCTCTTTCTATAGCCTCTGCCTCGCCTTGTGCAGGTTGGGCCTTTCCCTGTCTTCACCCCCTTGGCTCCACCCACATGGCTCCAGCCACTGCCCTCATACACACGACATGACAGACTCACACTGCTGGCCACTTTGACATTTTATTACCCAGCCTGGGACTTGGGTAGAATAACAGTGCACAGCTCGGGGCCTCCGGGTCCCTGGACTGTAGGGTGACAGGCCCGCAGGCATCAGGTCACCTGCTTGAGCACACTGCACACCTGCTCCAGTACGTGGCACACGCCCTGGTCCTTCGGGGTCCGGCTGGCCAGGGACATCTGAAGCAGCAGGACTGGGAGTCAGACTGCCTTATCCTCAGAACTGCAGCCTGCTGGGTGCCAGCCAGACAACCCTGGGCAGGCCCCAGAGATCACTGTTCTGAGACAGGGTCTCCTTGGAACCCCAGCTGGCCTAAAAACTCCATGTAGCCCAGGCTGGCCTAAGATCTCACAGAGACCCACCTGCCTCTGCCTCCTAAGTGCTGGGGTTAAAGGCGTGCACTACCATACCCAATCCCAGGTCACTTTTAAAGTTTTTATTCTGCTGGAGATTGGTTTGGTTTGGTTTGGATTTGGGGGGCAGGGTCTTGCTGTGTAGCCCAGGTTGGCCCAGAAGAAGAGTTCCTCCTGCCTCAGCCTCCTGAGTGCTGGGGTGGCATGTACACCACCAAAAGGGGTCCCACAGTTTCAATTAGAGGAAACAGCAGCATGGATGGTACCCCTGAGTTTCCCACCGTGTTGGGATTCCTGCCAGGCCTGGCTGCTGCCCAGGTGCCATTGGCACCTTGGCCTCAGGTCAAACCACAGGCCCTGGCACTGTGTCCGGCTTGCATATGCCCCACAGTAGGTTAGGTGTATTAGTTCGTTCATTCATTTGGGGCTGGAAATACAGCCTGGGCCACTGTGGACCTGGCAGGTTGTCCACCCGGCTCTGTGACCTCCCTTCCCCACAATCACTTTTTCAGACCGTCCCGGTGTGACCCTACCACCGGGACCCTGGGGTAGAAGTGGCCTGACCTTGAGCTTGTCCAGATAGCTGAGCTCGGGGCTCCAGGCCTCTTGGAACCTCACAAGGTCCGGGGCACCCTTGTAAAACTCCACCAGCTGCATCTGTGGACAAGAAGCAGTATGATTGCCTTCCAAGACCCTGCAGCCTCCTCCAGACCCGGAGATGGACCACATTGGGGTCATCTGAAGGCCAAGAATACTGGGGCAGCTTCTAGAGGAAATGCCAGGTGAACACACAGGGCACAGGCCTGTCCTGAATACCAGTCTAGCCTCATCCCAGTTGATGCTGGTAAACCCACAGGAGTGTCAGTGCATTTGAAGACACAGCTCTTAAAAATGATCACCCATGGCCAGGTGTGGTGGCACACACCTTTAATCCCAGCACTTCGGAGGCAGACGCATGTAAATCTCTGGATCTCTGAGTTCAAGGCCAGCCTGGTCTACATAGTTCCAGGCCAGCTGGGGCTACAGGGAGATCATTAAAAAAAAATCACCCACAAATAACAAATAATAGAATATTTTTTAAAAAGTGGGGGATTGGAAAGATGTTAAGAGCACTGGCTGCTCTTACAGAGGACCCAGGTTCAGTTCCCAGCACCTACATGGCAGCTAACAACCATCCATAACTCCAATTCCAGGGGGTCTGACATCCTCTTTTGATCTCCAAGGCCATTGCACGACATGGGTGAACTTACATATTCAAGCAATATACTCATACACATAAAAATAATTTTTTTTAAATGATCACCCACCCAGCTGTGATGCATGCCTGTCACCCCAGCACTCAGAAGAATCTCAAGTTGGAGGCCAGCCTGGGCTTACATAGAGAGACCCTGACTCGAAAAAGGCAGATAGGGCTACAGAGCTGACTCGGCAGTTAGGAGCACTGGCTGTTCTTGCAGAGGACTAGTATTTTGTTCCCAGTACCCACATGGCAGCTAACTGGAGTCTAATTCCAGTTCCGGGGATCCATTGCCCTCTTCTGGCCCCCAGGGAGCACTATACACACATGGTATACTTACATACATGCAGGCAAATACTCATAAATTTAAATAAAAATTTAAGAATCCAAGCAGGGCAGAGCTGGTGCCCAGGAAGGGCCACTCACCATCTCGTGTACCACATCATTGGTCAGGAAGCTGTCTTGGACGTAGGCCATCTCTACAGCCATGGGAACGCTATAATCACTGGGTCTCTGCTGCAGGGAGGGATGGGGGCCCATCAGGCCTCCCCTGTCCCCAAGCTCAGGGCATCCTCCCAGGTACAACCCTACCATGCCCATGCCCATGCCCACCTCCCCCACCCCCACTTCCCCTTCCACCCACCTCAGGGGGAGGGGTCACCCAGAAAGGTGAGATCTTGGACTCAGGGCCCGGGTTGCCAGAGTAGTATGGGGCTGCAGGGATAAACAGGGTCCAGGTCTGAGGGCTTGGAGCACTCAATCAGGGCAACCTCTGCCCTCCCCCAACTGGAAGCCCGTACCCATCCAGGATCCCCCACCCCTAACCCTGCACCCAGCTGAGGCCCCCACTCCAAACCCCTCACACATGGGGCCTCACAGCACAGCAGAGCCAGGCATGGTTGGAACCCGTTGCTTGAGCCCTGCAGCCGTAATTGATATTCCATCTGTGCGTCTATGTCCTGCAGGGATGGCAGTGCGGGGCTGTGCGGGTGGCTATGGTACCAGCCCACCAGGGACAGGCCTCGAAGAAACAGGCTCTGGTAGATCTACAGAGAGGAGCAGCTGAGATGTGGGGGCAGAACCAGGACTTGCCCTACGCAAGGGGACTCACAGGCCATTAATGCATACTTGCTGTGCTTTGTGCCCCCCTCAACCACACGGGGCAGCTAAGAAATGCATCTAGGGGGCCAGCAAGATGGCTCAGTGGATAAAGGAGGCTTGCGACCAAGCCTGAGGACCTGAGTTCAATTCCCAGAACCAACTTCTACAAGTTTTCCTCTGGCCTTCACACACACACACACACGATAAATGTCAAAATTTTTAAAGTGCTGTCACTAAGCTAGGCATAGTGACACAAGGCTAAGGCTGCCATCCCAGCACTTGGGGGGGTGGAGGTAGGGGATCTTCTGCTAAAAGCCAGTCTCAGGTATGTAGGGAGTTTAAGGCCAACCTGGGGTATGTAAGATCTTTATTCAAATTTAATTTTTTAAAATTTTTATTTTATGTGTATTGCCCATATGTAAGTGCACCCACATTGTGCAGTACCCGCAGAGGACAGAAGAGGGTGTCAGATCTCCTGGAACTGGAGTTCCAGACAGTTTTTAGCTGCCATGTAGGTGCTGGGATTCAAACCTGGGTCCTCTGCAAGAGCAGCCAGTGCTCTTGACTGCTGAGCAGCTCTCCAGCCCCACTTTTCTCGATTTCTTTTTTTTTTTTT